ATGCAGCAAGATGGAGCACCACCACATTATGCTCGCGGCGTGCGTCAATACTTGGACCATAGATGGATTGGCAGAAGAGGTACAATTGAGTGGCCGGCACGCTCTCCTGACCTTACCCCACTAGACTTTTTCTTATGGGGATACCTCAAAACCAAAATTTATGTAACGAAACCATAAACCATACATGAACTCCAAGAACGCATTAGGCATGAAATCCGTCAAATATCTCCAGACATTTTGAAAAATGTAAGAAATGAATTTTACCATCGGCTTGGACTATGCCAGCATGTACTTGGTGAACACTTTGAGCATCTATTAAATTAAATCTTATTTGTACCATTTTTTTTTAACCGTTACCCTTATGTTTATTGTAAAACTATAATCTCCTTGATCAAATTTTAAAAATCGATTACTGTTGTTAAGAGAAATGAATTGTTTCTAAAGCACATTACAACCCAACCTTTATTGCTATTTAATAATTTTCTAGGGGTAGCTACCCTGCTTAGGAGTGTACGTAATTTGATTTATTATGTTGTTAAAATGTTTCTCCCTTGAAGGCAAAATCGACCTGTTTAAAAATTTTCTTCAAAGCTGCGCATTTTTCATAAGACATGAGGATAATTTGAAAAATGCTAATTTTTTATGCAAATTATTAAATTGATAGTATCTCGGAAACTAATCGACGAAATTTTAAAAATTGAGCACTGCTGTTTAGAGGAATAACATGTCTTTAAAATTTAATACAAATCAACCCTTATTGCTATTTAAAAAAATTTAGGGGTTAGCTGCCCTATGTAAGGGATGCATGTAATTTGGTTCATTAGAATGTAGAAATGTATCTCTCTTGAAAACAAAATCGACCTGTCTTAGGAATTTTGCAAGAAACATTCTGCTACAATTCTACTGAATTTATTCCAGTTAAAGGTACCACACTGTATAATTGACCATGTGAAAAACATTGATTTTCCAGATTTAGACCACAAACTTCCAGGGATTGGCCTTGTGATTTGTTAATGGTCATGGCGAATGCAACACGAATTGGAAATTGAAGTCTTTTAAACTCAAATGGCATATCGGTTGGGATCATCGGGATCCTCGGAATGAGAACTTCCTTACCTACGAATTTTCCTTTGAGTATCGTCGCGTAAATCACATTTTTCATCAATTAACTCACCACCGAACGTGTACCGTTGCAAAGTTTTGGAGGAAATCAAATGAATCCGCTCGATTCGTCGACCGGTACTCGACCATTACCGATAGTCAGCAATTGCTCAGAGGAATCATCAGCAGATGTATCATTGAGCAATGCAACTCTCATGTTTGTTGTCAGCTGAAGTTTCTTCACATAACGCCATAGATTCGATGATTTGAGGCAAGCGTTTATTTCGTCGGCAGCCGTTGATCTTGGATTTACTGGCAGTGTTTGGCGGAAATCGGCAGACAGTAAAATCATTTCACCTCCAAAACATCTCAAGTCATTGCGTAAATCTTTCAATGTTCGATTAAGTGCTTCTCTTGCACGTTTGTGCGCCATCGTGCATTCATCTCATAAGATGATTATCGATGCTGATAAAACTTTGGCCATTGCGGAGTTTTTTGAAATATTACATGTTGGTTCTTCAATAGTTTGAAGATTTAATGGCAATTCTAATGCTGAATGAGTCGTACGAAATTTTTCTAACAATGTGGCTGCTATTCCAGAAGACGCAGCTGCAAGCGCAATGTTGGATCTCGTACGAACAGAAATGTATTACCAGTTCCACTAGGGGCATCCAGGAAATATAAACCACCATTTCCATTATCAATTGCCTTCATTAACCATTGACAACCATCGCTTCATCCGTTCTTGAGTTATAAATAGTGTAACTAACACCACTTTCTTTTAAATAGAGATAGGATTAGGCATATACTGTCGTGAGCTGCTGCTTCCTTTGTAGCGAATCGTTGATTCATCAATTACTTGATATTCATTGGGCGCGAACGATTTCAAATAGGATTCTGACATTGTGTCAGTAAGCGGCCGAACTTTGTGAAGCTTATAAAATTTTGCTTTGTTGGCTGAGTTGCATTATCATTCATATGTAAGTTATTGAGCAACCATGTAAGGGTCTCTCAGCTCAATTCTCGATGACCAATGATCTCTACAGCTGGGCATGGATTTTAGTCCCATGAGAATATTCAATCCTAGGTGAATCTTCATTTCCGATGAGGTTGTCGTAGAAAAGCTCGAAATTTGCCACCGCTTTTCTGTAAGGCATAGAGGTTTGTTTGGAAAACAATTTTTTCAATCAGAAAATTCGTAAACAAATGAATGAATATATCGGTAGGATTCTTTACGTCTCCTGGAATGATTGGTCCTGTTTCCTGTTTCCTGTACAGAATGTGGCATCGCTTGTCAATATTGTGGTCAATCTCCATAGTTGTAGTTGTGAATGTGATAGAGGCATTTCATTTTCTGTGTTCCATCCATCAGTTTCTTCGACTATAGTAGGTGATGCATCAATATCACGCCGAAAAACTTGTTCGAATTACTCGTCATGCGGCATATCGATATGCATTGATTCTATGTCAAAAAAGCTATGCACATTATCTTCTGGACCTTTCATAATTATTGATTCTTCTGGGACGTCGATAATGTCCGACGACTCCTCTGATCCACAGTCCGAAGGAATGTCAACTCCGCAAATGTCCACTTAGCGTGCGAACATGTGAATAAAAAACGTAATTCAATTCCTTACGGTTATCCTGGAAAGTCGTACAGTATTTTATGCAATAAAACATCATAAAGAACACGTACGGAGTTACGAACACTAATAATGGCTTATTATCACTTATTTCAACATAAAAACACATTCTCACCTGACATCTTGAAGATACATCGCTCATAAAATTGAGTTGAAGAACTACAACTTCTTGAACAACTCTTTCATTTCGTGAATAATGGAAACACGTGCTATGTTCAGGGGGATTTAAAATGTTTGCAAGAGTTGTTGTGACATAGGCAACATATTATACAATACGGTTACACCGTGTCTAGGCTAGACATACAGAAGAATAATTTAGAAAATATGGTTTCTTGAGCTGACCAGTTGTCCTCTAAGAGTTAAGGAGTCTTCCTCTTTTTGTTGTGATGGATTCAGTACTCACCAGGGGGACAAAAGTTCGCCTTGCATCCTAAAAATTCAACCCACAATAAGACAGATTCCATTCAATTTTCGGTCATATCATCACTGGATCCGTTACCTCCTACAACAAACAAGTTGTACCATGGTCTAATTCTGACCCAAAGGTCGTAGAATGCGATTTCATCACTTACTGTTGAGAATCATTCCGTACTGATATTCGAAACATATAAGTGAATTCTCCATTTTATTTTGTTTCAAAGTTTGCTAATTCAATTCTCACACTTATTCAATTACTCTAATACCTATATGCAAGATAAGTAGTGTAGTCTTATTTTCACTTGATATTTCTCCTTCGGAATTTTCCTGATATTTCTCAAATATGATTCGAACTTCACTTCCTTCGGTCCTTTTCCAATGTCTTGCAATGGGAGCCTTGTAATATCTTTGCCGAATGAGTTGTCACTCAGTATGAGGTGAAAGTCCTCCTCAATTATGACAAAGCCTGAGGTGTGTGTATCCATGCAAAAAAGATGACTGAGTCCACTCAGTGTCTCCAATGAAACCTTTGACATACCAGTTCCCTCTCATAGTAGTACATAGTCTTGTAATAGTTATGCAAGGCTCTGTCGTGATGAATCTTTTTTCTCTCGTGGAACTCTTGGGAGTGAAATGGTAATCAGAAAAGCCAAACTTCAGTCTACAGAGAGGGTAAATGTCAACTGAACGAACTTAATTCACGAAAAGAGTGGAAGATAACCAAATGACCACATCTATTCTTCTTGTGACATCAGAACAAGAGCAGGAGCTTCTCAGTTTTGTAACTCTTAAACAAACCTAGGGGAGGTACCTTCTCGAGAGCAGAACATTTCATAAATCTGCCTTGGATCACAAAACAGAATCTGCATTAGAAGAGGAAAAATTTACCTCGAGTAGGTCCTGCCAAAGCTCATGTTCAAAAGATGATTTACCGAAACTAAAAGTGGTAAAGTCCTGAATCATTGAATCCAATGTGCCGTCAGGAATGGCTAATGCACAGATGCTTCCATACGAGAAGTTTGCTACGGCTACCAAGGTGGAAATCTTGCACCTTGAACATGCGACTACCTCTAGAGCTGCATATTTCACAGGATCAGGGGAGGGTTTCTTGGCTAGTTACCAGAGAGCGTCTTCCTGAGAGGGGTCACAGGAGATTTATTTTCCAAGCCACACATTTGCGTTACTTACCTCCTTGACGAAGTTATTCGCAGACTGACCGTCAACCAGCTTTTATCTATATTGAGTGAAATATGCTGTTATAGTTTGTCTTCGTTTTATGTTGAACTTTCGATTTCAACGCCAGCGTCAGGAAGAAATTTCAAAAATCCACGGCCTTCAAACCCGGAAAATAGTGACACTGATTTTCGAATTGTTTCATAATAGAATCTGATATAGATAATAATTTCTGAACTAATTCTAACCAATATTGAAGGGATTCACTTGTGGTTTGTCACAGATATTTTAATTTTCTATGAATTGAAATTATATATGAAGAAGTTGATTATAATTTCTAGGACGATGAATGTTCACTGCGTATCACCAGACCCGTGCTAGAAATCGCACATCAAAAGAAGAGACCTCATTATTACTTCTGGAATTTTTAAAGTTATCGTTGGCGAAAGGAATACGGTCGATTGTAATTATCCCGTTTTGATAGCAAAATTTAAAAATATGCTATACATCCTTCCACCCACTGAACGTGACTGAGAAATCCAATTTCAACACAATAAATACTGATACATTTAATTTTGTCTATCTGTGAAAGAATATTATGTTCACTGAAGAAATATCTGCTTTTTCAAATAGGACATTGCTTGTCAACAATACGAAGTATCATACCTTCCAAATCTTTCCTGATCTCCTCAACTGCGATGTCTGTCGAAGACGTCACCACGAAGGCGATTTGCATGTGAGTGTTTCTCAAAAAAGTGTTGATGTCCTCGTAAATCAGAGTTGCAGACGCTGGCGACTTTGATATCGATCGGGATATTTGCTCGTTTCCGGCAAGAATGAGGAAGATGGGCGAACTGCAAGAGATAAAAATAAATTGTTCGACTTTTAACGCTTGAAGTACGGCGAAAATATACGGATAGAATCGATAGAACGTAAAAAATGAATTTCTACTAGAACTGGCAACATTCGTGTATGAAGTTCTTATATAGGGTCTACCAACAGCGACTTCAGAACTTTGTCAATAGATAACGGTCATCTGTCAAATTAGTTGTCATTCATTCAGTCTGTTTGACCCAATCAACATGGACGGGTGTAGAATTCAACAAACAACACGTGCAAATAATGAAATTGTTTCATCAAAAAGGTGTTCTGGTTGGGCATCGTACCGCGCACTTAGCTCATTTTACGGTCGCCATAATCGTCCTACCGAGAGGAGTTTTCACAATTTGGTGGATGAATTTGAGTCCACTGGTTCAGTAAACTATCGAACAACACCTGTATGTCGACGAAACACAAGATCTGCCAAAAACCGCTGTCTATGAGAGTGTGCAGGAGAATCCGAAGCGATCGATTTCGCGTCGTTTACAAGAATCCCAAAAAAGTCACTGTTTGTCGTGGATTTTCAGCTGGTGACGTCACCGGTCCGAATTTCTTTGAGAACCCGTTGGGCTGGCCATCAATGTCAACGGCGAGCATAATAGGTCGAAAATTACTTACTTTTTTTGGCCTGAATTGGATGATCTAGATACCAATGACATATGGTTTCGACAGGACGGCGCTACGTGCCTCACAGATCATACCACATTGGATATTCTACACGACTGATTTGGGGGCATGGTCATTTAACGTGGAGGTGATGTGAACAGGTAAGATCGTGCGATTTGATCCAGTTACACTTTATCTTGTGGGGGTTTTGAGTCGCAGGTGTATGCTAATGAGCCACACACCACAACGGCTCTCAAAGCCAATATAAACCATTCCATCGCTCAAATTCAGTTTGATTTATGCGCCAGAGTCATAGAAAATTGAACGTTTTGGATGCGCTTCACTCAAAGAAGCCGTAGCGGACATTTGCACGATGTTATATTCCATACATAATGTCATCAATAGGTCGAAAATGTGAACTGGAAGCAAAGGTGAACCAGGCTGAATGGAAATGGTAACGGCTCTGAAACTGATTGGGATGTAATGGAGGGTTGAGCTATGAGCACCAGTGTTTCCAAATTAAATTTTCGAACCACTGAATCGATCTGTTAATTCACAAGTGTGCCATTCATTCGGACTGATTCGGAGTATGAAAAAAATCAGATTCACTAACCGATTCTTCAGTTGTATGTATTTGTAAAACCATTCAATTTATCTTGGAAGGCGTTTCAGGGTTTTCTCAAACATAATTAGTATGAGCATTCGTCGCGAGTTGACGTGTTCGGTGTGTGCTCCGCTGATTGACCGTATAATCACGGAAAAGTAGCTGTGTATGCTGTATTCATATACTGTAATAACCTGTGAACCTGCGAACTTTATAAGTAATCAAATACTATGGCTCAAAATGAACAAGACTTTAAAAACTCATTAAAGAAGCTAAGAAAGCCATTCTTTCTGAGCAGACTTTCATTGATTCAGTAATCAGGAATGTAAGTCATCAACTGAATGAAAAACTGAACGAAATACTCACTGAATACCAGGAGAAATTAGTAAAATGTGAGGCCATGATAAATTCCCTAAATTCTGAAAATCGAATACTCAGGCAATCAGAGTTACAAAAACCATTCCATTCGCTTATTTAGCTTAGAAGAAATGCAAAAAGAAACTATTGACGAGGTAGTTAGCAATCTGTTCAACAAAACTTTGAAGGTGAAAATTAATGTAAATAACAATACAGAATTTTGCTATCGAGTTGGACGTTCTCCTAATTCAATTCAATTCTTTATTTTCCAATCGACAATTCACATTGTATAGGAATAGTCAGAATATACTTATGTCTAATCACTTATAGCAACATACAAACATGTCTAATCAGATAAAACTTATAGCAACATACAAATATTAATGATATAGGTAAAAGTTGAAGCACCATACAAATATTTACAGATACAAATATTCTTCAATACTATACAGACATTTCCCAGTTGAATAGTCCCGCAGACGTTTTTTGAAAGTATTGAAAATTTTTATATTTCTTATTTCAACTGGTATCTTATTGAAAATTCTGGGTGCTATAGATTGGGGTGATTTCAAAGATACATTCCCAACTACCAATTTCGTGTTTTATAATAGTTGCGGAAACGTTTTGGAGAAACAAATTATAAAACTACATTTCTCCCAGAAATGTTTTCAATGTGTTCATAAAACTGCTATAAATAGGAAATTGGCACCGTTTTATAACATTATAGTTATTATCAATATTTTGTAAGGCCTTTCACAAACACTACAAAATAGTTTTATAAACATTTTGGAAGTTACTATAAAATTTGTCTAACACGCTTGAAAAGTAGTTTTGTAAAGACTTCCCTTACTGCACTTTTGCAACATATTTAAGCGATACCTATAAAATAATCAGAAGACAGTTTTATTAGAGTTTTCAAGTAGTTTCAAGTAGGCATTATAAAATATATTACAGCCGAAAATGATAACAATAAAATGAAAAAGTGTTAAAAATGTTTTCTTGAAGACGCGAGAAGTAATTTTGTTTTGGACACTAGGAAAATATAATTGATATGTCACCAACTGAAAACTAAGAAATAGAGAGGTTGAAATCATTTTAAAATTTCACTTTTGCACTCATAAAACTGTTAAAGACATTATTTGCGTTTCGAAGATTGATATTTTTACTGCAAATGAAATTTTATTGACAAATATATAGCTTATTATTAGCAAAATTTAAGCGCGCCACTCATTTATAAACGTTTTCGGTAAAATTATCAATTATACAAAAATTCACTCTGTCGAGGTATTAATTTTCTAGTCAAAAAATCAACTCACTTCATTCTAAATAATATAATGTTATAATATTTATGTATTTTTCAGCTGTAAATATCACTATATGTGCGGTATTTCATATTTTCAACTCATCTAATTTCAGTATCCCGGATCGCTATCATTTAAAATGGCGTCGTTCTATAAAATGAATTGGTATCAGTAGCAAGCATTTCAACGTATTTTAGCTACTATGCTACCCCTATAAATCTGTTGAGAAGCACTTAGTTCTGGGAGTGATGGTATTGCGGCAGAGTCGGACTACTTTTAAAGCTGTAGGTTTCTACAAAAGTGCTTGTATGAATAAAGGATTTCTCACATACAGTTTGGATAAATATTATCTGTCGGGATGTTTTGGTTAAAAAGTTTATTTCATCGATTATAAAGGCTAAACGACGGGTTTTAACCATTATAATAACCTTTTCCTGTTTTTTGCAAAAATAATTGAAGCACTAGGTTAGGTGGGATAGTTTTGAGTGTTTTTTTAGTATTCCCAATCTACAGGGCGACTCAAAGCTTCCAGAAAGTTTTTTTATGGAACACCAAGTCATTTCTTCGTCTATTTGAAGCACTTCGAACTGAATCTTAAACTATTATATACCCCCCAATAAATGTTCAAAATGGCCGCCATCGAGTTATTATTTATTTTTATTTATATATTCGGGATATAAACAGAAAAATCCACTACAGTATCCACACAATGGAATTATTATCAAATTGAAAGTATAACATACATGTACACATATATATGCATATCATAGTGTCTAAAATTAAGGATGAATTAAAAATATTGAATTTACTTATACTTATTACTTATTTACTATACTCAATAAAAATCAAATATTTGGAAGTTGCTGACGAACTTATTTCCACCACGATATCGATGGTGTCCCACTTGAATAACTCAACAAAAATATTCTCACTGAACATAACTGAAATTTTGAAAAATTTTTTAAAGCTGTGATTAGAAATCGATGTCAGCTGGTTGTTCTCAAATGATGCATTTCATTCTTGGTGGCAGTTAATATATATTAGCAAAAGCAATTTGATTTTATAACAGTTATTTAAGTGTTTTTGAATTGTAGTTAATATACCATACTATAAAATAGTTGGGAAATTATCATTGAAGTGACAATATGGCAATGAAAATAAAATAGTATCTGAAAGCATTCCAATAACATAATTCCATTATACCTACAGGAATCAGTTATAAAATAAGCTAGAAATAGTTTTATAAGTATCATAAAAATCTCGCAGAAAACTGTTATAAAACTGCTACATAACAATTTACTTTTATAGGAAAATAAGTTTTATAAGTCAGTTGCGAAAACGTTTCTGTGATAATTTCCTGACTATTTTATAATGTTTTTTAATTTTATTACATAAACGTTTCTATGACAAATTTATAAAACAATTTCATTGCCTACAACTGAATTGTGTTCACCGATCATCTAATATAATCAATTAGCATTTTGGAAGTGATTATGAAATACTAATAAAATAAAATTGTTGCAACACCATGGAATTATAAAACACTTTTGCTGGTTGGGTTGAGTCTATTAAATGGTACGGGTAAATCATTTTTTTGACGACTTTCGAAGTGATGTTTGGTTTTAGATTGGAGTAAGGTATCTCTCTGCTGAAAAGACCATATTGATAGTTTGGAAATCAAAATAGATACCAGTGTTAAAATCTTATTTTTGAAAAAATTGGTTACAGCTAGTTCGACTTGATGTGTTGACGAGAGAACGTAAGACTCGTTTCTGTGCCAAAAAAACATCTTTGGAGCATGGGGATAGACTCCAGAAACAGATACCATACCGCAATCGACTATCGACATGGGCGTAATATAAAGAAATGAGTTGATTCATATGCAGAACTTCCCTAGTAGTTCTTAATTGGTATGATATTGAGTTCATTTTAGATATTAGAATGCGACAGTGATTCTCCCAATTTAAATGTTCATCCAAATGAAAGCCTAGGAAGGAGATCGAATTATTCTTGGTGGAAATATGTGTGTTGTTGAATCCAAACTCAATATCCTCACATCTTTTTTGACGAAGGTGGAACCTCATAGAATTTGTTTTCTCAATATTGA